CAGGTGTTTATAGCCAAATCCTGAAATCAAAGAGTTTTTAACATTCTCACAAAGTTAAATATTGGAAGTAAAATCTCTATCGTAGGTCAATATATGCTAAAATAAATAGATGTGAGTTGAAAAGAATTGTTACCCAAGTTCAAATATTCACAACGGGAGAAGGGGGATGCCTGTATAGGATGGTATTAAACCTATTGTTGAACTGAGTGCAGTGGTGTGGCTCTGGAGTCTGAGACAGGAAGACCAAGAGCTCAAAGTCAGCCTCAGCAATCCCGAGGCCCTAAGCAACTCATTGAGACACTGTCTCTAAATAAAATACAAAATAGGTGGGGATGTGGCTTAGTAGTCCAGTATCCCAGAGTTCCCAGTACCACCCCCCCCCCAAAAAAAACTATTGTTGAGCCAGCGAGGTAGCAACTACTTATCAGCATGGGGGAGGCTCTGGGTTCAATCCCAAACACCAAAAAGCAAAACAATGAAATCAAGTTTATTATTGAGCTATGAATACAAAATTAAAATTTAAAAAGCTGATATGGTGGTTTGCACCAACAATCCCAGGTACTTTCCTGAAGCAGAAGGATCTCCAATTCAAGGACAGCCTGGGCAACTTAGGGAGACTCCATCTCAAAATAAATTTTTTTTAAAAAAAATCTCCTGGTGACATAGCTCAGTGGTAGAGTACTTGCCTAATAGGTATGAAGTATCAGGCCCTGTGTTCAATTCCCAGCACCACAAAAATAAAAATAAAATTTAAAAGTAAATAGAACAAAATAAAATTAAATAAATAAAAAATTTGAAAAGAGCTGCATGATACTAGTGAAGAAGAAGCAAGAGACAGTATGAATACAATAAAACAGTTTACATATTTTAATAATGTTAATAGAAAATACATATCAAATTGATAAAAGGACATATCAATTGTATGTGTGTGTAAAATCACACATACACACACACATATATATATATACACACAGAAATTTTGAGAAAAAATCTAGAATTTAAAGATTTAAATTGCTCACTGCAGTTTTTCCATAAAATTATTTATAGAATAAGATTTCATAGACGAATGAGAAATTATACATTATAAACTGCATAGTACTCAAGAAAGTAATTAAAAACTGATGTCCCAGCCAGGTGCAGTGGCACATACCCACAGTTCCTCAAGAGGTGGAGGTAGGAGGATCATAAGTTCAAGGCCAGCCTCAGCAACTTAGTGAGGCCCTTACAAACACAGCAAGACCCTGTCTCAAAAGAAAAATAAAAAGGGCTTGGGGGGGTGGGGGCTGGAGCTATAGCTCAGTGGCAGAGCACTTGCCTAGCACATGTAAGGCACTGGATTTGATCCTCAGCAGCACCACATAAAAATAAATAAATAATGTAAAAGTATTCTGTCCATTTACAACAACAACAAAAAAATGTTTTAAAGGGCTGGGGGTATGGCTCATTGATAAAGAGCCTCTGGATTCAATCCCTAGTACCAAAAAAATAAATAAAAATAAAAAATAAAAAGGACTAGGAATGTAGCTCAGTGGTAAATCACCCCAAAGTATCAAAAAAAATAGTCTCTTATCCTCCTGGGATTCAAAATAAACTAGTTTTCCTTAATTCTAAATATGCAGAAAATGAAGCATATCCAAAATCTAAGTTAATAAATTCACTAATTCTGACATTTCTTTCAGAATAGAAAACTGAAATTGTCATTCTCTGTATAAATAAAAATGTAGTTTATATCCAGGGATGGTGGTGCACCCTTGTAAACCTAGCAACTCAGTAGGCTGACGCAGGAGGATCACAAATTCCAGACCAGCCTCAGCAACTTAGTGAGACCTTGTCTCAAAATTAAAAACAAAAAGGGCTGGGGATATAGCTCCATGGTAGAGTGTCCCTGGGTTCAATCCCCAGTACACAGGGAAAAATGTACTTTATTTACTTTATATAGATTTGCTCCACACAGAGATTCCCCATACTGGTTGTATATCCTATCAGTTGGGAATTTTTTAAATAAATTCCTGGGACCCATCATCTAGAGATTTCAATTTGAAAAGTGTAAAGTGAAGCCAGGAATTATTATATTTGATAAAATATAACTCTTATGTTAGTGTATTAAGGGAATTTCAATATGGTTCAGCAAGTTCTTGGGATTGGTTCTATATTTCAGTGCTTTTCAAACTCGACTTGCTCCATATACAAATCACCTGCAGGTGTTATGCAGAGACAGATTCTGATTCAGTAGGTCTGAGATGGGTCCTGGGCCTTAGCAGTTCCAACAAGCTCCCAGGTGATGTCCATCTATACTATAGGCATAGGGATGCTTTCCCCCACCACCACTATTACTCTTTTTTTTTTTTTTTTTTTTTTTTTGGCAGTGCTGGGGCTTGAACCCAGGGGCCTCACGCACACTAGGAAAGTACTCTACCACTAAGCTGAGGATAACACTTTGCGTAGTAAGATCTCATGGGCTATTTGAACATTTCCACAGGTGAATGATAATAGACATTCCCCTAGGCAATTTCTACCACTGGAATATTTTTTCAAGTTTTACCTAAACATCCATTAACACAGCTAGAATATATAATTTATAAAATACTTGATCTTTAGGTACTCTACTACCAAGTGAATGGAAATTATCCGTCCCATGTACAGAGAGAGTACCACTAAAAGGTGAGTGCTACTGATATAATAGAGATGAAATATAAATGTACATAATTTTCAATAATATATTGAAGGATATTCATCATAGCCATGGTAATCTTAGTGAAATATTGGAAAAAACACTACATATCTAATAGAGAACTAATTAAATAATGTAAATGAAACTTACAATGAAATCCTAAGCATCTATTAGAAATACTTATGTGTGTTTCTCATGGTGGCACACACTTACAATTTCAGTAAATTGGGAGGGTAAGGCTGGAGAATTGCAAGTTCAAAGCCAGCCTCAGCAATTTAATGAGACCCTATCTCAAAAGAAGGGAGACAGTGCTAGAGATGAGGCTCGGTGGCAGAGTACTTGCCCAGCATGCATGAACTCTGGATTCAATCCCCAGTACCGTAAAAAAAAAAATAGTTATCTAAAGGTACACATACTAATAATGAAAAGATGTTCAAGGTAAGTAAAAATAAAGATTACAGAACCTTATGAAAAGATATATATATAATGAAAAATGCTTAAAACATACTCAATACTCAGAGTGGGATGAAGCTTAGTGGTAGAGCACTTGCCTAATTTATGAGAAATCCTGTGCCTGCATTTGATCCCAAACACTGGGGGGCAGGGGAAGCAGCAGCTTAGTAGATGGTTTAGTTCCAGCTACTTGGGAGGTTGAGACAGGAGGATCACATGAGGCCAGGAGATCAAGGTCACCCCTAGGCAACACAGAGAGACCCTGTCTCAAAGAAAAAATTTTAAAAGAGTTTCCTAGAAATCCAAGTACCTGGACAAAGTTCTAACTTATCTGATGGCAACCTACAACAAATTCAGAATAGATAGAATCATGGTGCTTTAATACATACAAAACCACAGAGACCATTAGAATTTGAACAAAAACCTACCTATACTTAGTGATTGATTTTATCTTAATTTTAAGCATCTCAGGCAAACACTGATTATTTCTCATGAACTGATTGAGGTCACAAAGGTTCTACATTTATCTGAAACTTTTTTTCAGTGTTGGGATTAAACCAAGGGCCTCGTGTACAAATGTTTTACCACTGAGTTACAATGCCAGCCAGCCCTGTCTGAAATTACTCTCATTATAACCTCCTTTATGATGTTGTCCCCTCCACCCATTTAGTCTTTCACTAGTTAATAGTGCCACATAAACATTTATCATCGAGCCAAATATCTAGGTAATTTAATAATTTTTCCATTGCTTTCATTTCTCCCCTTAAAACACTTTTCAGCTGATTAACATAAACAGAATCTGGTGATTATCTCACTGCAGTAAACTCAAAGGCTTGGGGAATGTGTATCAACAGATGTCCTCAAAGAATCAAGAAAGCCAGGCACAGAGGCACATATCCATAATCCCCAGCAACTTGGGAGGCTGAAACAAAAGGATCCCAAGTTCCAGGCCAGCCTGGGCAATGTAATGAGACCCTGTCTTAAAATGAAAAATAGAATGGCTCAGTGGTACAGTGGCCCTGGATTCAATCCCTAATACCACAAGAAAAAAAAATCAGGAAAAACCTTTTCTGCTATGAAAAGCACATGAACTGTCCCATTTTGTTAAGAAAGAGAGAAAGGCTAGATATCACAATGAACATATTTCAATCATACTCAAGTATTTAGTACAATGGTCAACCAATAAGGCAAATATTTACTAAAAGTTTTCAAAAGGAGATATTAACAAGAATTTCAGCAATTTCCTAAGGATAAAAAATAAAGATAACTTTACCCAAAAAAGCCATCACAGACATTTTCTTTTTTAAACGACAGGAGGGGATGATAGTATATCCCAGTGCCCCAGCATCACAAAAAAATTAAATTAAATTAAAAACAGATGGGAAGGCTGGGGATGTGGCTCAGTAGTTAAGCACCCCTGAGTTCAATCCCTGGTACCAAAAAAAAAAAACACAGGGGAGCTGGGTGTGGTGGTGCATGTCTATAATCCAAGTAACTTGGGAAGCTGCAGCAGGAGGATCACAAGTTCAAGTCCAGCATCAGCAACTTAGTGGGGCCCTAAGTAACTTAGCAAGACCCTATCTCAAAATATAAAAAATAAAAAGAACTGGGCATGTAGCATAATGGTTAAGTGTCCATGAGTTCAATTCAAATACCAATTAATTAATTAATTAATTTTAAAAACAGAGGGGAAATAATAGGAGAAAAAGTCTGGCATGAGCTCCTAGAAAGATCTAGGAAACAAACATACTTTCTGATCAGTGAAGGACAAACCCTTCATTTTTTAAAATCCATGATATATTTCAATTTGGATCACTCAGAAGGTCAGGCCAGATAAAACTGGAATTTATTAAAACCAAGAAGAGTATATACCTACCTGCAGCTCACACCAAGCAACTTCAACCCATGTTTCAGTGTCCAGTCCTTTATATACTGTTTTAAATGCTCCTCTTCCCAGCTCTATGTCAAACTTCAGGAACCTGCCACTAGGAGAAGTTGCAACAGCCTTCATTTCTGCTTCTTCTTCTATTTCCTTTTCATTTTTCTCCTTCAAACAATCTTTTGAGGATTCCAATGTTGCCTTTGAACATTGTTCATATTTGACTTCTTGTCCACCTCTTAGCACATTTGTAGGAAGCTTATCTACTCGAGGAATATTTGTTGCAGCCTTTATTCTCTCATCTTTGGGGGAAGATTCGGCAACTTTGTCTTCTTCTGTCATCTCAACGCTCTTACGGAAAAATCTCTTTCTTTCTATGGTTTCCCCAGTAGCAGAAAAGGTACTGTTTTTTTCCTTTAGTTTAGCTTCTACTGTCAAAGTTGCGGCAACTTGAGGAACCCTGGTTTCGAAGGAAACTCCATCAGGTTTCTCAGAATCTTCCGTGCTGGCTGGCTCCCCTGAATCAGTGGCCATTGTAACTAGGTTGGCACTAAAATCTTTCCTGTTCAACTCTTCTGTCCAGTTACATCTCAGGTATCAGAATTATCAGAATGGACTTCCTTTTATGTGGTCATATATTTCCATAGCAACCTGAAGGGGGAAAAGGATATTTTTAAACATCCCACAAAGGAAATCATTAAGGAGAAAACAATCACCTGATTTTAATCCCTTTATTCTTAACAAGTTTATTCTTTTTTTCTGTCTAACCTTAGCAACCAATAGCCTCCAGGGACTCTTCTCTTGTTTACCAGGGTAGCCCACAGTGCCTAGCAGACCACTTTGTGTAGCTCAACCTATCTTCATTTTACATGAATATTGGTTAGTTCTTAGCCCTATATATCTATTCAGCAAATTCAAAACAAGTGTCCAAACCCCGAGTTAAATAACAGATGTAGATACACAACATCAAATTTACCATTTAACATGCTTAAGTGTGTAAGTAAGTAGAATTTATTAATTCACAACATTCAGAATGGTGTGCAATCATCATTTCTATCCATTCCCAAAACTTTTTCATCATCCCCAAGTGAAACTCTGTACCTTTTAAACCAAACTTCCCTATCCAACTGGGTACAGTGGTATGCACCTGTAATCCCAGCTACCTGGGAGGCTGAGGCAGGACAATAGCAATTTCCAAATCAACCTGGACAACTCAGTGAGACCCTAACTCAAAATAAAACAAAAAGGACTGAGGATATAGCTCAGAGGTAGAACACCCCAGGTTCAGTCACCAGTACCACAAAAACAAAATTTCTTTTTCTCCAGTGCAGGGATTAAACCAAGGGCCGTGCATTAAACATTGCAAATTCCTTAACACTGAAATACATCCCCAGCCCAACACTGTAGTTTTCAGTAAGATAAAAAAGATGTTCCCTACATATTATATGGGTCAATGAAAAAAAAAAAAAACAAATTTATGCAAGTTTCCAAATACACAAATAATCTCTTGTAATTCCAGCTACTCAGGAAGCTAAGGCAGGAGGATTGCAAGTTCGAGGCTAGCCTGGGAATGCCTCAAAATAAATCTTTTGGAAAAGGGCTGGGAATGTAGCCCAGCAGTAGAGCACTTGCCTATCATTTGCAAGGCCCTGGCTTCCATCTCAAGGACCATGAAAACCAGAAAAACAAATACATAAATAATACTTACTGAATTATGGAATTATGAACTTTTTTCTGCCTTTTTACATTTTCTAAAACTTCCTCCAATTAATATGTGAAAATACGCAGAACATAAAAGGGAAGAAAAGTATTCCAAGTGAATGGTCAAAACACCAAAAAAGAGCTGGAGATGAAGCTTGGTAGTAAAGTGTTTGCCTAGCATGCATGAGGCCCTACGTTCAATCCCCAGCTCCACAAAAATAAATAAATAAATAGTACAACACACACACACACAAACAAATAGTCCCCATTCTTACTACAATTATGTAACACAGAGTAGTGCCTTTACAACTATTACTGTCATATAACTTGAAAGTCACAATTTATCATAAAGATTTATTAAGAATTACACCAAACTCGGGGCTGGGGTTGTGGCTCAGCAGTAAAGCGCTCACCTAGCACGTATGAGGCCCTGGGTTCGATCCTCAGCACCACATATAAATAAATGAATAAAGGTATTGTGTCCAACTACAACTAAAAAATAAATATTAAAAATGAATTACACCAAACTTAACCTTAGATGGAGTTTATCTTAAAATATTTAAATAAAAAAATTAAAAAAGGAATTACACCAAACCAAAAGTAACAAGAACAATCAATTTTGAAAAACTAAAGAGAAAAACCTGAACTACAACAAAAAAACAGAGAAATACCCTAAATTATTCTATACATTCAACTCATTTCCTGTCAAAATTCCAGCTGGTTTCTCTGCAGAAAATATCAAGTTAATTATAAAATACATAAAGAGTTTCAAGGGACCCATAATAGCCAAAGCCATAACAATCTTGAAAAAGAACAAAGTTGGAGGACTCATACTTCCTGATTTAAAAACAAGCCAGGTGGGTGGCACACACCTGTAATCCCAGCAACTCAGGAGGCTGAGGCAGGAGGATAGCAAGGTCAAAGCCAGCCTTGGCAATTTAGCAAGTCCATAAGAAACTCAGTGAGACCCTGTCACAAAATTTAAAAAATTAAAAAATCTAGAGATGTGGCTCAGTGGTTAAGCGCCCCTGGATTCAATCCCTGAACTGCCCCCCATCCCTACTACAAAGCTATAATATTAATAAAGCATAGTGGCATAAGGATACATGTAAAGAATTCAGAAATAAACCCATGTGTTTGTGGTCAACTGATTTTTAACAAGGGTGCCAAGTAAACTCATTGGGGAGAGGCAATAACAATTGGTGCTGAGAAAACTGGATATCCATATGAAAAATATGAAGTTGGACTTTCTAGAAGGTTTCCTAGAAAAGATCCCTGAGCTGAATCTCAAAGGAAGAAAATTAACTGATCCTGGCAAAGGGAAGATCAAAAACAAAACCATGAAACGGCATGGAATAAGTACATGACTGGTACCATGAGCAGTTACTGGCATATTAGAAGCAGGCAGCTGAGGACAGAGAGGCAGATAGTCACTAAGGACATTTTTATCCATATGATGTAAAATAAGGAGACCAATTAAAAAGCTACTGCAATAATCCAGGAAGGAAATTATGAGGCTTGAATGAAAATAGTGGCAGAAGAGATACATTCAAGATACATTAAGGAAGTACTAAATGCAAGATTTACTACTTGGATGAATATGGCTGCAAGGGAAAATGAAGTCTTATGAAAACTCCCAGAAATTTTGTCAACCAGATGGTGGCACTACTAGGATATATCTATGTTAATACCAGAATTGAACTAAAGACTCATAAAATACTCCAGAATGTTATGTTGTCAAATCAATATACTTCCAATGTCACTTACTGCCTGCAAGAAAAAAAAAATTGCCTAGAAAAGCCTTACTTGGGTGATTTTTTTTAACATTTTATTTGTTTTAATTTTTTTTCTTGTGGTAATGGGTATTGAACACATGGGCATTCTACCACTGGGATACATCCACACCCTTTTTTTGCTTTTATTAAGTCAGAGTCTCAATAAATTGCCTATGCTGGCCTCAAACTTAGAACCTCTTACCTCAGCCTCCAGAGTAACTGGGATTACAGGTGTGTGCCACTGTGAAATAATTTTTGACTAAGAAAAAAACCTGCAAGAGTATACAAAGAATCCAGTATACCTTTCACCCAAATTCCCTAAATGTTAACATTTTAGGTAAGATATTTTTAAGTAAGAATAATGATAGTTATTCACTTCACTTAGCTAAAGGTCAATTATCCAGAAACCTCAAGAGCAGAAATCTAAAAGTGAGACAAAAAGATTTTTTAATGGCCAAAAATAGGTAAAGTCAGAGAATTTTTGGAAAAGTCTTCAAACTTAATTTACTGCAGAGCACTTTTTTAAAAATGAAATATCTCCCCACCACCACCCCAGCTTTGGCAGTGCTGGGGATCAAACCCAGGGCCTTGTGATTGCTAGGCAAGTGCTCTACTATTGAGCTACAAAACCAGCCCTAAAAATGAAGTCTTAACCAGGTGCACTGGTATATACCTGTAGTCCCAGCTACTCAAGAGGAAGGCTGTAGTGGAAGGCTCACTGAAGCTAAGAAGTTTGAGTCCAGCTTAGTCAAGAGACAAAGAGTAAGAAAGAAATCTTACTCAGAACCCTAATGCTAGGAGGGCACAGTGATGTATGCCTATAATCCTAGCAACTTGGAGGATACAAAGTTTGATTCCAGCCTCAGCAACTTAGCAAAACCCTAAGCAACTTAGTGAGACACTGTCCCAAAATAAAAAAACAAAAGGGGCTGGGGATGTAGCTCAGTGATAAAGTGAGTTCAAAATCAAAACCTAATACTAAAAAGAGTGGCAAGTAATGGTGCTCTGGCATGACAATTTTGACATGTGGTTTCCCAAGCTACATAATAAGCAGCAGCAAATAAGAGGGATGGGGAGAGGAGTGTTTCCTTAGTCTTTTAAAACCCAGTACCCTAGGTTAGAGCTGGGAGTATACCTCAGTAGTAAGCACAGGCTGGAGGCCCTCAATATGATTCCCCAGTACAGAAAGCAAGCAAAAAACTAAAGCTCTGTGACAAAAACATTACTAGAGGAATATTTCATTAAGAAAAAATGGTTGAGGACTCAAGAGGCTGATGCAAGAGTATCTCAAAGTATCTGAAGTTCAAGGCTGGCCTGGGAAAGTTAGCAAGACACTGTCTCAATTTTTTTTAAAGTAATAAATAAAAGTTTAAAAAAAACGGGTTGGGGATGTAGTTCACTGGTATAGCACCATGTCCAGTACCACAAAAATAAATTATAGAGCTGGAGTTACAACATGGTAGAGCACTTGCCTAGCATGTGTGAAGCACTGGGTTTGATCCTCAGCATCACATAAAAATAAATAAAATAAGGTATTGTTTCCATTTCCAACTAAATTTTTTTTTAATTAATAAATAAACAAAATTATGCCACTGACTTTTTTTTAGATATGATCTTACTGTGTTGCCCAGTATGGCCTCTAACTTCCCCTGCCTCAGTATTCCAAGTAGTTGGGGACTCCAGCATGTGCTATCATGTCCAGATTTGTATTGTTGAATTTTATGTTATGTAAATCATATCTCCATAAAATATGAGGTACCTCTTTAAGAATCTTAAAAGATATTGACTTGGATTAAAATTAAAGCTATCATAATATCAAATATGTCCTTTTAAAACTGTACTGCCCTGTCAACCCTCAGTTTTCCACTCTCATCTTCAGCCTGACCTGCTCTCAGCATCGTGGTGCTTTTTCTCTATTTGTATAAAATATCCCTTTAGTAATAAAAAAAAAAAAAATCCTTGACTTAGAGGGAGAAGTTCTGACAATAATAAAATGTAATAACTACTGCAAGTTCAGTGGTGGAGCACCGGCCTAGCATGAGTGAGGCCTTGGGTCCA